CCCCCCCCAACACCTCCTCCCAGCCCGCCCCGTTCCACTCCCCTCCCAGCAGCCATGCTGAGACCTGGTATTTTTTTTTCCCCGCAGCCCAGTCCCGGGCCGTGCCCCAAGTTTGGGAAACGCTGATATACACCCTTAAAAACAGCTCCACCAGAAAGGGATTGAGCAATGTTAGAGGATAGTATGTGGAAACCTGCAATCCCCCCCCAACACCTCCTCCCAGCCCGCCCCGTTCCACTCCCCTCCCAGCAGCCATGCTGAGACCTGGTATTTTTTTTTCCCCGCAGCCCAGTCCCGGGCCGTGCCCCAAGTTTGGGAAACGCTGATATACACCCTTAAAAACAGCTCCACCAGAAAGGGATTGAGCAATGTTAGAGGATAGTATGTGGAAACCTGCAATATAGCTGCCTGTGCTACCCAATGCTTATTCTGAAGATAAAGGACCTCAGTCTACAAGTGTCCAAAATTAAATTTTTTACTTAAAAACATTGAGTTAATGCTGTTTCTTAGTGATTGCAGTGTTCACGAAACATGACAGACTTGTTAGCATTAAAAACTGAAGTCTTCCTTCCAAAAAAAATAAAGCACAAGCAGTGCACAAGCCTCCCCCACACAACCCTGAACATATGCTTCAGCCTGGACCTGCAGAACACCCTCAACCCACTATAAGGATTTCCATTCCCATTCCATACTGAATTACATTGGTTATTTTGATGTAAACATCTATTTAAGAGGAATGGATTGAGACGACCACCTTATTTCAGAAGTAGAAAGAGCTGTCGGTCACTATTACATCACCTAAATTATAAGCTAGGTGAAAGGCTCATCAAAAATTACTTAGAGTATTAAATTGCTATTAATCAGCTAATCAGCACTAAGCAGTCCCAGCTCAAACCATCTCTGAGAGCTATCACCGCTGTGGCTCTGCCTTTTAAATGTAGTAAGAGCCACTAGACATTTAAAAGGCAGAGGTGCAACTTGAGACACAGCACAAGCAGGGACAGAAGCAGTTCCCACTCGCGCCAGGTCCCTGACTGCTGCAGCTGTGCACCTCTACCTCCCTTGCCCTGCACCGCAGAGACAATGCTGGGGGGAACCAGCTTTAAGCCAGCTCTCCTCACTCACCCAGCACCAGCTCCTGTTCCCCACCAGCTACTTTTGATACAGAGGCAGCAAACGGGGGGGGGAGGGGGGGAGATAATGCGAGTAGTCAACTCGACTACTCTTTTACATCCCTAATTACTATGTGATGTAGTATATCAGATACTAAAACCAAATTTAAATTCTTAAATACAAGATATACATCTAAATAACTGGCACTAACAAATTTTGTATTTACTAGGGTGACACTGCATATTAAACAAATTCAATTTATTTATTCTATGAAATATCATATAGGGTAGATAAGACCATGACAGAATGAAAGTTACCTTTATCAGATGCTCTAGAAGAGAAACCACTAGTAGTTGAGATGTTATCATCATCATGCTGAGAGGTAGAATCTTTGATTTCTTTTACAAGGGAGAGTCCAGAACTGCCAATTGCAAATGCAGAAGATGTAGAGGGCTGACAATGTGGTGACGGGGAATCCAACATAGTGCAATTCAAATGACTCCGATGAAGAGAGGGTCTTGTTAACACATCTGAGAAATTTAATGCAGATCTACTCGTGGAAGGTTCTAAAGAGGAATTTAAACACAATTAGTATTCTATTAGGTAAGGTGAAGTGTACAAGTAGAGTCCTGCATGGATATAAAATTTGTATCCATGTCTGTATCCACAAAAATGAGCCACAGATATCTGCACTGACATTCACGGTTGTGAACACCCCAGCTATAGAGCAGATATATGCAAATTTGTAGGGTTCTAGATTTAAAAAATCTGTATCCACATCTATATCCACAAAAAATGAACTGTAAATTCATGAATGCAGATACCCACAGAAATTGCAGGGCTCTATGTATAAGCACACAGAAGTTGAGAGCTGTTTTCCATCAACAGTCTTTCTACTGCCAAGAACAAAAATAGAGATAAGCCAAATTTAACTTCTTCCTCACCCATACAGGGTTTCACTTAACTGTCTGATGACAGCAGCAACATTTACATACAAATATTTAACCTATTGCACCACTAAACAAAGTATTAACAGTCACTTGATTATATGCACTAAAAGTTCTTTTTTTGGTATATTCGCTAAATTTTATCACACAGGCTCTCCTTACAGATAAAAAAATGTTGTATCCTTGCCATCAGTTATTTCTTGGATTTAACATATAGAGGATACAAACCTCTTTGTTTGTGTGACACTGATGCTACTCTAGCAACCAGATGAGCAACTTCTCAAACAAATCAGAAGGTCTGTGAAGTTCTGAAAGGCTATAGGTGGATTAGGTCTTATAGTTCTTTATGAATGAGATGACTATTACAGTGTATTTTATGGAATGTTCTAAAAGGAACCTGAGGCCTCTCTCAGAAGTTCTAGGAAAGAAGATGCTATTGATATCAGAATATACGGATTAGCTCAGCATCACGAATCATGGTGAATCATGGTCACTAAACAGTCGACACACTTTCCAGCAGATTTTTATGACAACATCTTGGAGAGAAATTATATATGTACCAGGATGAAGGTCCAGTTTGGGAAAGCTCATCTGTGCTTCAGGTGAACAGTTCCTGAAAGCTGATATATGGAGTATTTTGCAGTTCAAGTAATTAAGATTTATTAGTGGCATCCCCTAATGATCCCACAAATGGCTGAAGGTTCTGGACAGCAGCATAATTCCTAATCCTTTGAGTTGTTTGAGTAAGTCAGCAGTGTGGTAGTCCTTGTTGAAAAGTTCTGTAAGTACTTTTCCACCCAATATAATGCGCGTACCTAACTCCTGAAGACATCCCCTGTTCCTTTACGAAAACTTGCTCTCTAGTGAAGGACTGATGGTGCTGCAAATTTTCTCATTTGCCATTAAAGTCTTCTTCATATGGAGTTGCTAGCAGAGGCAACTAACTTTTGCCAATCTGAGAATGTACATGATGAATGTACATGAATGATCTCCTTACCTAGGCTAGCAGTTTTGGTGATCACCTCCATGGCAAACATTTGTAATACATGCTCTCAAATGGGAGTATCTGGATAGGACTGGACTGCAAACCGGAAGAACTACTGTCATGTCATGTCAACCTTGTCTTGTTTATAGGTATCTTAATTTTAAGATAATTAAGAACTAACCTGAATTTACCACCTGTATTACTGATCAAACGAGTCTGGATTAAAAAGGGCAGGACTCCGAGGAGACTACCTTCCACTCATTCTAGGTCTGCTCACCAGTGTCTTGTTTTAGGAACTATGAAACATAATGAATGTTTCTATGGTAATGAGATAAGAGCTTTTCATCTAAAGGTCTTCTGTTTATAAAAGCAATCCATCTTACTTGTGAATAAAAATCATGGCTATTTGACAAGTATTTAATGGATTATGTGAGACAGGCTCCTTTCCTATAGGACAATCCTCAGAGAACTCAGGAAGACAATGTTACAAATGCCATGTCTGCACTTAAAATTGAAAAAAGTTGCTTTTGTCTCAGATTTTGTAAATCACTTTTTCTCTTATTTTCCTTTAAGTTATAATTAATTCAATAATCAGAGGGGTAGCCGTGTTAGTCTGAATCTGCAAGAACGAGAAGTCCTGCGGCACCTTATAGACTAACAGCTTTATTGGAGCATAAGCTTTCGTGGGCAAAGACCCACTTCGTCAGATGCAATAATATAAATCTATAAAGATTATTCAACTAACTGGCTACAGTTTTGACTGCATTTCACACATACCTTCTAAATTAATTCTTGTTGACTCAGGAGTGACTCTCCCATCAAACATTGGGGTATCGTCATCTGCATAACCATGATGATAGTTTACTGGAGTTTCCTGCTGGTTTGTAGGTTCACTTGCATCTACACATTCATCTTCGCTTTTATTGAAGTACCTCTGTAACCAGCCTGGTACAATATTCTTCACTGATTCTGTAACTCGGCTAATGATTCCCTGCTTTAAAAAAAAAAAAAAAAAGTGCTTATATTTAATTAACCCCAAGCATGAACTCAAAAATATATTTTTACATACACATCAAACACATGCTAAAGACAAATGTCAGGAGAGAGCTGCTGAGAAAATAAATACAAAAAGACAAGAATTTCAAACACTTAAATAATTATATTTCTCAATGACAAATATAAAGACTACTAATTGAACAATTTATTTCCCAGTATCAGACTTTTCAGTCCCCTTGATGTTATTCTCTTACTTAATTCTCAAAACTCTGATTAAATTTCAGATGCCAAGACACTAAGCTACATTCTTTCCTCAGTGTAGTAACACCTTCTTGCTACCCCTTCTCTTAGGGCTTGTCTATACATGGAGTTGCTTTTGATTAATTCCATATGTGGAATTAATCAGCAACAGCTACATGTGCAAAGAAGCCTTTGGTCAATACAGGCAACCCCCATTTTACAACCGCCCGACTTATGACTCCCGCATTTACAACCTTTTTTTCATGCAAGATAGCTCCTAAAAATCCCCCAATTTACATCCGCAGCTCGCATTTACAACAATGTACAACGCAGACGCCACGCATCATCCCAAAACAGGAAACGCACACGGTCAGTCAGACTTGCCAGTCTGCAGCTGCTGCTTGAACTACGCATGTCTCTGCCACATTGGTCTTTATTTTTTAGTTATTTTTGTGCATTATTTGAACTATTTAGTTTAGTTTTCTTCCATTTCCATAGTCAATTTTGGTATTTTTTGGGTAAGAAATGGGTTTCTAGGAATGGAACCACCATTTATAAGATTGCGCCTACGGGAAATAAAGGTTCGACTTACGACAGCTTGACTTATGACGGTTCTCCAGGAACTAATTAGGTCATAAGTGCAGGGGTTGCCTGTATCTATATGACATGCAATTACTTCCAACAACCATAAGCCTCAAGATTTCTTGCTCATGCTATTTTAAAAAATGACATTGTATCAAAATCTATAAAATACTATGCCTTGAACAAATATATGTATTCCGTGATCACCTATAAATGTGAGTGAATAATCAATGCTGATTTATCATTCTAATATTATTGTTACTGAAAAAGCGTCATCAATTTATGATTAATTTTTGAGAGCTGAAGACATTGTGCTCCTGAACTAAACCGATGTTGAAAAGTACCTGGAGGAAACTTGGCTTCATTTCAATAGCGCCTATAGCATCAAGAATATATCTACGTTGGATTATCAAAACAATTAGTGTTCTGCTCTTCTGCTTTAGGTAAATTTCACTCAATGGCACATTTAATCTTTAAAAGCCCCCAAAGACTAATATTCTGCACTTTTTAAAATATGCAAATGCTTTTGTGTTTCCTATTTAATTAATGGCAAGGTTTATATTTTACTCTAGAAGACTATCATTTCACTACATTTGTCCATTCTTCACTTGTGTCTGACTGTTCCTTCCACTTCAAGTCATTATTTAGACACCATTTAGTAATCACTAAACAATAATTATCCATTTGCACTATCAATCAGCAGTTTTCAAATCCACTACAATTAGAAAGAGAAATGCCCTACTGAATTCAACACATTCTGAAATATGAGAAAAAAAGATGAACTAACCAGATTTACAGACCATGGTATCAAATGCTACAAACACCTTCAAAGTGTTCAGACCCTGTATAAAAAGTCCAATTTCAACACCTGGCCAATTCTATTCACTAGTCCTGCTCTTTGACCTCCTGACTCTCAAGGTCCTGATTTAGCAAAATACGTAAGTATATGCTAACTCTTAGCACCTGAATAATTCCACTGATTTTAAATAGGACTATTTAAGCATACACTTAACTAAGTACCTCATCAGTCTTATTTAAATTCAATGGGATGACTCAGACATTTAAAATTATGCTCATACTTAAGAACCTTACTTGGGTCTTGGCTTTAAGACAATTATAAAAAAAATTTCTCCCAATAGGCAGAACAAAAACCTTGCTGTACTCAACTTTCTATAATAAAAATTATTCAGACTGAAATCAGAGAATTTCTAAGAAAAGTCTTTCAAAGCAGTTCATATAAACACTTGTGATGGAAGTTCAAATAAACAGAAAAGAGCTTGCATAACTTTCCTGGATAGCTTTTTTCTGCAGAAAAAGTTTCACAGCTGATTGATTTAAAAAAAAAGTATCATTCCAGCTTTCCTTACTTAAATACAGAATCTTGTTTACAAATAGACTCATAAAGATCACAATGGACACACAAATGTATACAATACATAATCAATACTTACTGATAAGACAGCACATGGCATCTTATATTGAACAAACCCTAAACCTCAGCTTCCCTACAAAGGATAGTTGACTGTATCCAAATCACACAAAGAAACAGACTAAATTATAATGTAGTTATGCAGTTCACTGAGACTATTTCACTCAAACAGTACTTTGAAAATGGAAATTCAGAGGACTCGAAAAAATTCACAACTGTCAATTCAGCAAAAATCAATGAGACTTGTGGCAGGCCATTAGGGATGTTGTTGTTAAAAGAGTAAACTGAAGATTCAAACTACTTGTCTGAGAAAGAAAAGCCATTTCAGATTACTTTTAAGTCAAGTCAAATGGACTAGCAAACAAGGATCCTCCCAGAACAGCAGATTTCAGAGTTAACAACTTTAAATTTTTCTTTCACAACCACATGAGCTAAAAACACAACTTTTGTTTCACAGTAAAGTTTCCTATCCAGGAGCTGGAACCCTAGACACATATCAACAGTGCAAACATAAGAACATAAGAATGGCCGTACTGGGTCAGACCAAAGGTCCATCTAGCCCAATAGCCTGTCTGCCGACAGTGGCCAGCACCAGATGCTCCAGAGGGAGTGGACCGAAGACAATGATCAAACGATTTGTCTTGTGCCATCCATCTCCAGCCTCTGACAAACAGAGGCCAGGGACACCATTTCTATTCCCTTGGCTAATAGCCTTTTGTGGACCTAACCTCCATGAAATTATCTAGCTTCTCTTTAAACTCTGTTATAGTCCTAGCCTCCTCTGGCAAGGAGTTCCACAGGTTGACTATGCGCTGTGTGTAGAAGAACTTTCTTTTATTGGTTTTAAACCTGCTACCCATTAATTTCATTTGGTGTCCTCTAGTTCTTCTATTATGGGAACTAATAAATAACTTTTCTTTATTCACCCTCTCCAAACCACTCATGATTTTATAGACCTCCATCATATTCCCCCTCAGTCTCCTCTTTTCTAAACTGAAAAGTCCCAGGGTATGTCTACACTACAAAGTTAGTTCGAACTAACGGACGTTAGTTCGAACTAACTTTAATAGGTGCTACACTAGCGCTCCGCTAGTTCGAATTTGAATCGAACTAACGGAGCGCTTAGTTCGAACTAGGTAAACCTCATTTTACGAGGACTAACGCCTAGTTCGAACTAGCTAGTTCGAACTAAGGGCTGTGTAGCCCTTTAGTTCGAACTAGTGGGAGGCTAAGGCTTCCCAGGTTTCCCTGGTGGCCACTCTGGCCAACACCAGGGAAACTCTATGCCCCCCTCCCGGCCCCGGACCCCTTAAAGGGGCACGGGCTGGCTACGGTGCCCGTGCCAGGTGCAAGCCTGGCCGTCTAGGGCAGGAGAGCTGCCAGCCTGGCCACCCAGGACCAGGTGTGCATGAAAATCAAGGGGGTCCACTGAGACCCCCGACACTGAGCCCTGAGCTTACAATGGCCGTCCTGGGTCAGACCAAAGGTCCATCTAGCCCAGTAGCCTGTCTGCCAACAGCGGCCAACCCTAGGGACCCTGGAGGGGATGGACCGAAGACAATGACCAAGCCATTTGTCTCGTGCCATCCCTCTCCAGCCTTCCACAAACTTTGGGCAGGGACACCACTCCTACCCTCTGGCTAATAGGACTCCATGGACCCAACCTCCATGACTTGATCTCACTTCCCTTTAAACTCTGTTCTAGTTGTAGCCTTCACAGCCTCCTGCAGCAAGGAGTTCCACAGGTTAACTATTTGCTTTGTCAAGAACAACTTTCTCTTACTAGTTTCAAGCCTGCTACCCATTCCTTTCCTTTGGTGTCCTCTAGTCCTTCTTTATGGGAACTCAGGAAGAACTTTTCTGAATGCACCCTCTCCACCCAACCCCTGCTTTTAGAGACCTCTATCCTGTCCCCCCTCCGTCTCCTCTTTTCTAAGCTGAACAGTCCCAGTCTCTGTAGCCTTTCTTCATCTGGGACCTGTTCCCAACCCCTGATCATGTTAGTTGCCCTCCCCTCTCCCAGCCTTTCTCTTCCCCTCTCCCACCTCCTTTTCCCAGTCTCCCCCAGTTTTTTTTCAATAAAGACAGAGTCAATGTTGGAAGAAACGTTATCTTTATTTTGTACATCAATAAGAAGGGGGGCTAAGGAAGGGTAAGTGGAAGGAGGTGAGGGAGGAATGGGGTACGAGCCCCCGATGGGGAGGACTGGGCTGGCTCTGCGGGCTTCTGGGGGTGGAAGCTCTCCTGCAGCCCCCCAATTACTCCCTCTCCCCAGATGGCAGCCTGCGGCAAGTGCAGCCGGGCTGATGGCCGAGTGGTGTGATGTGCCCAGTGTGGGCACTCAGGGCACTCCAAGCCAGAACTTCTTTGCAAGCGGGGCACCCCTTAGAACTGTGTGTCCGGGGTGGGGGTCGGGACCCTTTAAGCGCAGCCCTCGGCTAGCCTGAGACAGCATCTCCATGCTCTAAGTCCTCCTTTTATGCCCTGCCGGCACTGCTTCCGGCCATCCTTAAGCCCTGTTCAGAGTCCACTCAATGTGGACTTACTAGTTCGAACTAGCAAAACGCTAGTTCGAACTAGTTTTTAGTTCTAGATGCGTTAGTTCGAACTAGCTTAGTTCGAATTAACTAATTCGAACTAAGTTAGTTCGAACTAGCGCTGTAGTGTAGACGTACCCCCTGTTGCTTTAGCCTCTCTTCATATGGGACCCATTCCAAACCCCTAATCATTTTAGTTGCCCTTTTCTGAACCCTTTCCAAGGCCAAAATATCTTTTTTGAGGTGAGGAGACCATATCTGTACACAGTATTCAAGATGTGGGCATACCATACTTTTATACAGGGGAACTAAGATATTCTGTCTTATTTTCTATCCCTTTCTTAATAATTCCTAACATCCTATTTGCCTTTTTGACCACCGCTGCACACTGTGTGGATACTTTCAGAGAACTATCCACAATAACTCCAAGATCTCTTTCCTGATTTGTCGTAACCAAATTAGCCCCCCATCATACTGTATGTATAGTTGGGGTTATTTTTTCCAATGTGCATTACTTTATACTTATCCACACTAATGTGATAAACCCCTTAACCTGACTGTCCTGTCAACTGTCATTTGTTTGCTTGTTTTTTTAAATTTATTTTTGTAATTTGACTTTAAGAAAATATATCCCCTTGATCAGGATATGTATGTAAAATCCTGTTTAATCAGTTAACAGGTTAAACGTTATGTTTACTTGGTAAACTGCTTAAATAGGGGCTGCCCCACCTGCAGCAGGCTGCTCCAGCTGGCTCCTGCCTGCGGCCCCGCCCCCTATTGGCTAACCTTCACAATTACATGCAGGGCCCCTTCTGTATAAGAGACAGCAGGATGGGGAGGAAAGAAGGGGAGCTGGCTCCCTCTGTATACCAGTTCCCATCTGCCCACATCGTGCTGCTGTCTCTGGTAGAGGCAGCAGCAGGTGGGGTGCATATATAACCGTGTACATGTTTACACTTTCACATTCCTAACACTATTTAAGAAAAAACTAGTACTATCTACAAGGGGTGGTAACAACTAGTTTTGGCTGATTTAAATATATGCTTTAAAAGAATAATTTTTATGCCTATTTAATATGTACAAAGACACAATTTCCTGACAGGTAATATGAAATAAATTATCAAAGTAACTGAAACTGACATGGTTATATTGTGTTATTTTGACAAAAATATTCAGAACATTAAAATATTATTTGACGGATTTTTACATTTTTGGTGTAGAATTCCCCCAAGAATAAATTATGACAGAACAGCAATTTTTTTTTAAATGAAACACTGGTATGTTTCTGATTTAATATCAGTACTATGCCCTGAACAACATGTTACTGGCATGTCACCAATTACATAATACTTTGGAATGTTTGCTTCATGTAGCGAAATTGGAATACTTACAAAATTTTGTTTCTAAAATTCTGAATGAAGGATTGCGTCTCTAGATATCAGCTTGGGGTTTGTTTGGGGGTTTTTTTTCCATTTTTTAAACTGAGATCTGGAAACACTAAAAATATCTAGATGTTTACTAGAACCAAACATTGCAGAGAAGATACTACAATGTTCTACATTTTAGCACTGCTTGCATATCTGCAAAGCACAGACCTAGCCCATCATTACCAGCAATCCAGTGTATACAAGAGAAGTGAGACCCAGTTATTCACATTTCTGAAGAATTCAAGTTACCAGCTGGTAAAATCCTGTTCTGCCCAGCTCCCCAATATTGAGTGTTTTTGTCTAGGTAAATATATTCTATGTTTACAGCCTATCGTATTATAGTGTAAACATTTCATAAAACCAAATAAGACAGGAAAATGTGACCCAATAGGCTGCATGAAATCTTCCATGCTAATCAATGGCAGGCACCACAAATTACTATCAAAGCACATGCTAAATGTAACATCTTAAGACAGTCATCAATTACAATACTGAAAAGGACAAACGATATAATTTAATACTCATATGCATCTTAACCACTGTTATGGGCACTACACCAAAATGCAAGGAAAAATTTAGAGGAATCCCTGGCAACACTAAGACAGACCAGCAATTTATCTAACACTATCTTTTGTTGGCAGCCAGAGTATTAGATTTATACTACTAACAGAACATAAACAACTGAACAAAATGAAATTTAGAACAGTACTAATGGATAGCCAGCTCAAAACCAATGGCATTAGTTCTCCTCACAAAAAGAAAAACTATTTCAGACCAAAACTGGAGCTTTTATTTAAAATACAAGCAAAGTAGTAAGAGGCAAGATGGCAAAGTAGAGTATAACACTCCTGACAAATACTTGGATATGCACCGAACATAAAATCATCCAGAATACATTTTCCAAACCATCTCAGATTGGTTATGTGCTTATTTAGGTCCTTCGCTATAGTATCTGAACACTTAAATAATATTTAAAGATAGGAGTGACAGACCTCTCCTCTCCCTTCCTTTCCAAACTGTAGAAAAAGTAGCTCAATTAGCTTTTGAAATGCTTACTTATGAGTTCAATGGAAGAGCTA